CAGAGAGGTGCTATGGTTAGTAACGGAGTTGTTTTTCAAGGAAATGAACCCAATCAATTTGATGATGTTGTATACTTGCTGTAGCAAATTCAGTCAGAACTTTTTGGACAACTTTATTTCTAATCGTTTTCCTTATTGTTCAAATGCCTTGCCCACTGTTACAGCCATGATCCTGTTCATCAAATGCTTTATGCTGAATATGCACATAGTGACCCTCTTCCTGTGTAGGACTATGCAATCACCATCAAAGTGCTTCAACAATTTAGCACTGCTTAAACAGCTGCATTTTTTAACCTTCAAATCTGGAGCTGAGTGCAGAAGATAATGCACAACACTGCCTTTTGAAGTCATATTGAACTCATTGACTTCCATCAGAAGCGTATCAGTGGTTGCAAACATTACAGTGTAGATTGCATCCTTGAAGAGTTTGAACTATGCACAAAAATGGAAAGACAAATGCAAAAGCCTTTTTATTGTTTGGAATCTCTAGGATCAAACGTCTTTGTCTTTGATAGTATATTTGAATACGGTATCTTCATTTATCATGGCACTTCAGAATTGCTTCACAAATAAAGAAAAGTCAGATATTTGGTGCTAGAGATGTTCTATAAAGCTCAAGAATACCTAAAATTATCTTTTTATTAGGCGTCTATTAACATGTAATTGATTTATAAATATTGGTAACCTTACCATGTGGACGCATCTTTACTATTGATGGTATATGTTTGTATTACAACGTTAAAGAACTTATTGATCATCTTATTTGCAAGATTGCGAACTTGTATCATGGGCTATATAATAAAGAGAAGACATTTCACATTCAAAGCTCCAAAGGGACAATGAAGGACAGAATGGAAATATGAATGATGTCAGACCTTGATCATTTTGCATATAAAGGGCCGGAGAGTAAATACTTTAAACTTTGCAGGCCATCAGGTCTCTGCATTAGTAACAAACTACACACACTCAGTGGCTTAGAACAAGAAGTTCTGGAGACAACAAGTCTGAAAACTAAGGTACTGGCTGTACCATGCTTTCTCTGAAGTTCTCGGGAAGAATCTGTTCCATGTGTCTCCCCCAGCTTCTGCCATTTGCTGGCAACCCTTAGCTTGTAGCTACGTCACTCAGCCTCTGCCTTTGTCCTCACGTGGCCCTCTTTCCTGTGTGTCTCCATGTCTCTGGATCCAAATCTCCCTGTCCCGTCTCTTATGAAGTCACCAATCACTAGATTTAGGACCCATCCTAATCCAACATAACCTCATCTTAACTTGATTGCAACTCCAGAGACCATACTTCCAGATAAGGTCACAGTCCCAGGTACTAGGTGTTAAGACCTCAATATATCTTTTTGGGAGACACAATTCACTTCACTAAAGTCTCTGTTGCAGCCATTCAACTCTGTCTTTGTAGCAAGAACGCAGCCAAGGACAAGACATAAACAAATACATGTGCTGCGTTCCCATAAAATTTTATTTACAAAAACGGATAATAGGTCAGATTTGGCTGGTGTACTAGAGTTTACCAATGCCTGGTCTAACTAACTGAAGCAAAATTGCAGCGGGGTGGGGGGGAGGGCGGGAATATCCCCTTGCTTTAATCAGTTCATTTTTAAAGTGTAGAAATGCAAACATGTGTGTATATGGCAACACTTATTTCAATTAATTTATTTTTATTTTTTAGTTTGGAGAGAGAGTGTGAGTGGGGGAGGGGAGCAGAGGGAGACAGAGAGAATCTTAAGCAGGCTTCATGCTCAGTATGGAGCCCAACACAGGGCTCGATCCCATGACCCTGGGATCATGATCTGAGCCTAAATCAAGAGTCGGACACTCAACTGACTGAGCCATCCAGGCTCAGTGCCTTAGCAGCACTTATCTTAAAATCGATGTCAACTCATGGCAAGAACTGAAACTTTCATAATAATTTCAAATCCCAAAGTTCTGTTACTAAAAATGCTTGAATTATGATATTTATTTGGTCAATTAGAAGTTTTTTGGTGGTCACTTAGTTATGAGAGTTGATATGGCTTTTCCTCCAAAGAGATCTAGACCACTTTAGAAACAAGATTTTCCTCGAACTCAGACTTATATATTTGTTCTATTGGAAAGAACGTACCTGCTTCCCCTCAGTAGAAGTATGTTCCATGAGGGCAATGACATCATTTTATTTAATGGTGTGTCCTCAGCACATAAAAGAGAGCCTAAATACATAATAATAATTCAATAAATATTTACCTAAAGTAAATATTTGTTTTCCCTGGACTAAAGAGAGTGAATTGGTATGTTGTTTTAACCATGTTATACAAAAATATGCCCTGTTATCACATCTTGAAATTATTTATTGTCTTAAACTCATAGAAGAGCTACAATAAGAGAAATCCAATTTCTATTAAGAGCTATTGGAAGAATTTGTGAAGAGAATAATGGGGTAATGAATCAGAAGGGATCAGTGAAAAACATTAGTTTTCTTTATTTAATCAGATTCATGGAAAATCAGAAAAAAGGTAGAGAAGTCAAGATATATTTCAACAGCCGAGGGAAATATTAGCGACTTCTTTTAACAGCCCCACTTGATTCAATAGCAGGGAAATGTGGAAACCCATGTGAAGTAACTAACACTTCACAGGCAGTGTAGACGGGAGAAGATACAATTTGGTCAAAGAGGTAGCAGGGGGGGCACCTGGGTGGCTCAGTCGGTTAAGTATCTGGCCGTTGATCTCTGTTCAGGTCGTGATCTCAGGGTTTGAGCACGCATCAGGCTCTGAGCTGAGAGCGCAGAACCTGCTTGGGATTCTGTCTCACTCCCTTTCTCTCTGCTCCTCCCCTGCTCTCTCTCTGTCTCTCTTGCTCTCTCCCAAAATAAATAAACGTTAAAAAAAACAAAACAAAACAGGGCGCCTGGGTGGCTCAGTCGGTTAAGTGTCCAACTTTGGCTCGGGTCGTGATCTTGCGGTTTGTGAGTTCGAGCCCCGCGTCGGGCTCTGTGCTGACAGCTCGGAGCCTGGAGCCTGCTATGGATTCTGTGTCTCCCTCTCTCTCTCTGCCCCTCCCCCACTTGTGCTCTGTCTCTCTCTGTTTCTTAAAAATAAATAAATGTAAAAAAACTTTTTTTAATAAAACAAACAAACAAAAAAGAGGTAGCAGGAGGAACCCCCCCAGAGTTTCCAAGCATAGGCTCTGGAACTCTGTGACCAGGCCAACTCAGAATTTCACTACTATTCTTACTGCTGGATGGAAGGCAGAAATCAGAAAGTGAAAGGTAGAGGAGTCCTAATGTTGCTCAGACAGGAGAGACTTGTTGATAGCCTAGAGGTAAGCGGAGCCAACGTGGGAGAATCGGGAGCCAGCCCCGAGACACCATGTTGAAAGCACATTAAAGAGAGATGTGATGCGGATAACGATAGCCAAGGACCAAGAGAGAGGGAAGGATTCCTTGGGAGAGGGATTCTCCATGAGAAAAAAAAAAAAAAATGTAAATAGAAATCACGGTCCTAGGGATGTGGTACCGAAGAGAAGATCTGGGGCCACCAGAAATCCTTTGTTTCAAGCTGATTCTGGAATCACTCAAATAAAAAGTGAGTTGAAAGTTGGAGAGGAGTGGGAGCCACCACTGGAGGCCTTTGGGGACCTTCAGATGTAAGACAAAGACCAAGTGAGAAAGAGTAAAGACAAGGGAGGACCCCTTAAAATGCAGATTAGGGGCACCTGGCCGGCTCAGTCTGTGGAGGATGCCACTCCTGATCTTGGGGTCGTGAGTTTGAGCCCCACGTTGGGTGTAGAGAACGCTTACATAAAAAAATACACTTTAAAATAAGTAAAAAAAAATAAAATGCACATTAGACCTGGGAAGCCATCCCTCCTCAGGCCCAGTCACTTTTACCCCTGTCAGTTCAGCCAAATCAGGAAAGAGACAGTAGCTCAGCAAAGAAACGCACATGACCTTGTTCCTTCTGATTTAACTCTTGCTACTGGCCCTTGCAAAAACCTACCACCTCAAGTTAGCCACTTGAACTGCCTTTAAATCAGGATAGCATGGATTCAACCCACGTTCTAGAGAGGAAAATACATTTTTAGGAGAAGAGTAAGGGACAAGGATCAGTTTTTTCCATAGTTGAAGCTGTTTAGGTCCTCGAAACGTGAAAATTGTGTCCGCCGAAGAAAATGTCTTTGCAGAAATTTAAAAAATGCTCAATGTATTTGACAAAATTTCACGTCCAAAAAGCTCCCAATTTGCTTCTGCTCTTAAAAAAAAATCAAAGAAGTAAAAATAGTATACATTTTTGTTAGAAGAAAGAGAATTTATTTGTGAATGGCAAAAATGCTGTGAGAGAAAATTGTCCCATTGTGGAAAATTTAACAGGCATATTGGGGCCAACCTTTAGCTCGCTTCTGTAGTGAAATTTGATCTTGAGCTTAATTTTTTTTATTATTAAAGTGAAAAATCAGTTATAGTAGCTTGAACAAGCCTCCATAACACTCAGTAATAGAAAGTATGCCTCACTTCCTGGTACTACGGGACATTTTACAGTGATTTCACAAATTTTCACCGTTGTTGTTGTTGAAAGCAAGTTTTCTAGATAGGCCACAGTATTTCTTTTCACCATTCTCCACATTGAGAAGGATGTAGGGTGGTCAGATTTTAATAGCTTTTTTTAATGTTTATTAATTTTTGAGAGAGAGAGAGAGACAGAGTGCAGAGTGTGAGCAGGGGAGGGGCAGAGAGAGAGGGAGACACAGAATCCAAAGCAGGCTCCAGGCTCTGCGCTGTCAGCACGGAGCCCGACGCAGGTCTCGAACCCATGAACCGTGAGATCCTGACCTGAACTTCAGTTGGACGCTTGATGGACTGAGCCACCCAGGTGCCCCATAGGGTGGTCAGTTTTTAGATGAATGTTACGCTGACGTTATGCAAACCTTTTACCTTTGCAGAGAGGCCAATGCAAGTTGACCCGTGAGTGTAATCTGTGCCGACCAGGACTGATGTGCACCCAGAAGGAATGAAGTATGGATGTGAAAGAACGTAGGCCTTACTGCTCGCTGACCAAGAGCAGACGAGAAAAAGAACGGCGTTATACAAATTCCTCAGCAGACAATGAGGAGTGTAGGGTCCCCACGCAGAAGTCGTACAGTTCCAGTGAAACCTTGAAAGCTTTTGATCATGATTCTTCACGGCTGCTTTACGGAAACAGAGTAAAGGATTTGGTTCACAGAGAAGCAGACGAATACAGCAGACAAGGTAGGTCACTGGTCTCACAAAACAAGGCACACTCAGAAGGCGCCCCCTTGGAGGTGCCATGTTTTTCTCCTCTATAGGTGACATGATTATTTTCCAACTTGGATGTCTAGCCTCTGATTCAGATTTTTGAGAAACTAGATGGTCACGTAGTATTCCAGTTTAAAGGTAGAAAGCCACCTACAGACACATTGACCGCAGATAAGGGTACCGATTCATGTAGAGAATCACTGTGCACATATAAAAATTTTTTTAATGTTTATTTATTTATTTATTTATTGAGAGACAGACCGAGCGTAGGTGAGGGAGGGGCAGAGAGGGAGACACGGAATCCGAAGCAGGCTCCAGGCTCTGAAATCCCATGTCAGCACAGAGCCCGACACGGGGCTCGAACTCACGCACCGTGAGCTCATGACCTGAGCTGAAGTCGGACGCTGAACCGACTGAGCCCCCCAGGCGAGAATCACTGTGCACATTTTATATGTGAGGGGTGTGATTCTGCACACAGCCAGTGTTTGTGCATAAACTTGAGATCCAGGTCTCGTGGGCTCCCTCGCCCGTTCAGGAAGGTGCTCACGGACGTTTCTGCCGTTAGAACTGACGTAAGGGAATGGGAAAGGTTGACAAGCAAAGGCCTTTCACTCATTGAAAAGTGACAGTCCTAATTCTGAATTATCTCATGAGCCATGTAGCCCATGTGCTGATGTCTATCTGTTCATACAAGAGCCTGCTACTGAAGGGTTCAGGTTTCTCTCCGGCAGGCGATCTAGAACATTAAGGTTCTACCTTAAAACATCCTAGTGTCACATAATATAACCCGTTATGGTTTGGCCATTCACGTGTATTTGTTGAACGTTTTCATGCTCTGTTTTCTGTCTGTATACTCTACCAGTGAGTAATGACTTCTGTAACTTGCCTTCACAGTCTGAAACCTACCAATCTCCATGCTTTCAGACAGTAGCTTATTTTAAATTGGGCATCCCTAGGTTTTTGTTTTCTAATACATTTTTTGGAGATGCAGGCACGATTACTACTAATAAAAATAAAATCCTCTCCCATTTGTATTGCATAGTCAGTTTACACAGAACTTAGCATCCCTCAGCTATTTTAATCAGGAAATGAGGAAAAATAAATTAAACCGCAAATGTAAAGAATATATTCCTTCTTTCCCAGTCACCTTACAAACAGTGTGACCAACAGTATGATATTGAGCAAGCAACAAATTTCAGAAAAATAATGCAATAAATCATGCAGAAGTTTGGAAATTTTCCATGGTTCTCTTCTTCTCTCTATTGTGGAAAGAACCGTCCTAACTATATTGAAAGAACATTCACTCACCTAAATCAGTTTACCTCAAAGAAGACTCATTTGATTTGCTAAAGAGAGATTTTTTTTTCCCCCTGAAGGATATTTTACTAAAATTACAGGTATCATCGTTTATGAAATGGGATATGGTAGCTTGACATAGTAGGGTTTTTTTTTTTTTGAGATTCAGTTTTTTTAATGTTTATTTATTTATTTTTGAGAGAGAGAGTGAGCAGGAGAGGGGCAGAGAGAGAGAGAGGGAGACAGAGACTCCAAAGCAGGCTTTGCACTGTCAGCGGAGAGCCTGATGCAGGGCTCGAACTCACAACTGTGAGATGACTGTGACCTGAGCCGAAGTCAGACACTTAACCGACTGAGCCAGTTTTTAAGGGAAGATATAAGACATAATATTTGAGATACATACCCTCGGTAAGCCAAGGGACTTCTAAGTCCATTGCACGATGTCTTATAATTCCAAACCCAAGTGTTTTTTTTTTTCTTTCGTATTGTCTACACAGCTGACATAGATTATCAGGGTGCAGGTTCCACCAATTTAAAAAATAGTAGGTACTAGGAAATGCATGCAGTCTGAACCCGGTGTGAAGCCTTGCCTTTTGTAACAAAAACAACTAGTTTAGTGCCCTATCGGAAAAAAAAACAAAAAAAAAAAAAAACAAAAAAAACACAAAACAAAACAAAACATTGTGGAATACCATTAAAAGAAAAAAAAAAACCTCAGCACATGTGGCGTGATGCGTGGGGGAGGCTCATCTCCACCCCAAGCAAGCATTTCGTTTAGGCAGCACGAAGGATGCTCAAACGGGTTAAAAATAGCGAGCTGAAATTTTCACCTCCTAGGCAGCGCTAATCCAATGCAGACTGTTGTCGATGACATGGCCATACCATCTGCGGAAACCCTGGAACCACAGTTCTTAGGGGACCCAACAGTACTATTACTCAGCTTGTCGCCAGCCAGGCGGGGGGCGGGGGGGAGAAGAAGAGAGGCAGAGGGAAGAGAGAGTGAGCGAGGCAGCACGTGGAGGCGGCTTGTTGGGAGCAGCGGAAAGAAGCGGGGAGCAGAGGTTTAAGGGCCGGAGAGAAAGGAAAAGCAGGAGTGCGGTGTGTGCTCGGGCCCGCTTTCCACCTGACGTGTTCATCAATCAGGCCATATTGGAAACACGAATGGAATATACTGCTACGTATTGCTCATGTGCACTGATCCCTTGGTATGCTCCAGTCATGGCACTAGCCAGGTTTTACGTGCACCCTCCCAGTCCTTGGGTGAGATGGGTCCCAGTAGTGCCCTCCTTTGCCAAGTGGGGAGGCCTGACACCCCAGGGCTAGCGACAGCCGAGCTGGGGGCTTGAACCCGGGGCCGGTCTGCCCCTAGCGCTTGGCTTCCAACCTCTGTGCCGTGGCCAAAGCCGGAGAACGGGCAGTTCCGGGTCAGAATGCCCCTTTGCTTGATTGGTGCCAGTTGTGGCCCCTTTTGATGGTGTGGCTAGAGGGCAAGAAGGAAGACCGGAGACATCTTTAGGAGACTCAGCGATATGATTACTTGGGACCAGCTGGGATGAGCTTGAGGGAGAGGGAGCTATTGCAAACACTTTCTCTCTCCTGTGGTTGGATACAGGGAATGTGTAGCCAGAGCAGTAAATGTAGGAGAGAAGTGACGAAGGAAAGTTTGCTGTCGGATTCTGTTTTTCTCAAGCGAGCCTAATGAAAAATCCTCCTAGGCTTTTCTTTCCTTTGAACCTGACAAATGTCAATTTTTCCTCCCTGACCATTATGCTGTGGGATTAATTATTTAATTGACAAAATGTGCTTCCTGCCACAACTCCTGACATCATACACATAATAAAAATGAAAGATGAAAAAACGTTACTAGTAGCCAAAGATCTTTGAACCGATTCCAAAGAATCATGCTAATGTAGCTTGTCTGTGGGGTCCTAAAACAACTTGTCAATCCTCATTCTACTTTAAATGACACAGGCAAGGGCCCCTTCAGCCCAAGGAAGGGATACGTAGAGACCCCTGTGAATGCAATTACGTGGACCATTCAAACGTAGAAATATGATGCTTTTATGTCTCTTGACCGGTTTGGTGGCCTACTGTCCAACTTGATTTTTGTGGCTCTAGTGACTGCCAAGTGACTTTCATTAATTATGTATTCTGTTTAGAGACTGCAAAGCCGGGGATGGTTGTGTTTTCACAATAATGTGTCATGTGACCAGATCCCATATAGATCTCTTTCTCTGTCTCTTTCCAAATCTCTTCCTATGGTTTATTAGGTGATGGGAATAGTTGTTGTTTCAGCAGCTGTGGAACCCTCCGTAGGTGTGATGGGGTTAGGGTGACAATGACCTGTTTTGCATTCTTGGATACCATTTTCTTTGATTCAACTTTGAAGAGAATTTATCCTGTCAGGTCTGAGACACATTTCTCATGAAACAGCTGCATAAGATCATCCCACAGTTTTAGAGAAGTGATAAAGTAAGAGATCTTTTTTTTTTTTTCCTCTGCACTATGTGCATTCCTTGTAGCGTCCTCGACCGAACGAAAATATTTATCAACTCCAACAAGAAATGTTGGCCATGAGGGTGAATTTTGAAACAAGGCGACGTCTGGAAATAGGAACGCTTTTGTTCCGCAGAACCAGATGTCTGCAAAGCACCTCTGAGACAGTCTTAACCCAAAATGTTTACCAGTCAGTTATTGGTGTTGGGTGGTGAATTGCAGAATTTTAAAATGAAAAGATCACCATTCACTCCTCATTCATAGAATGGCGGTGGGGAGGGGGGTTATCTGTTTTTAAATTTGAACAACAGAGAGCATTATGTCTGTGTTTATACATTCCTGAAATCAAAATGGAACATACATCTGTAAAGTAGGAAAGGGAAGGAGGAAGGCAGGTTGACAAAGACAGGCGCTCATTGAACAGCTTGCTTCCGGTCCCCAAAACTCTCCTCTTTCCTTACCCCTGCTCCGGGGTTTGCCTTCTCTACCTGCTTATCGCTGTCAGCAGTGCCCAGCCGTCCCCAGTTCCCCCAAATATGGCTTCTGCTTCTCCCCTCATGACATTGCTCATCTAAGACTAGTTCAAGGGTAGCAGACCCCACAGGCCCTGATTTTTGACGGCTGCACCTCCTTAGTGGGCTGCATCCTGAGTTTATCTTCTGTACAAATATTCCAGATGCTCGGCCTCTCCCTTACCAAGGATAACTCTGTTCTGTGAAAGAAAAGAACATTAGAGGAGCAGTCCAGGGTTTCCTGTGACCCCGTGTCCAGGATTCCAGCGTTACGGTGGCTTGAATGAAGCCTCATCGACCCATCCCCCAGACAACTCCTTACTTGCTCTGAGCTGGACAGTGATCCAGGGTGCAAAGGAGATCTAAGATTCTACAGAGTCCCCGAAGGACAAAGCTGATGCAGGTAGTTTTTCCCTTTTGGTCGGATGAGCGCTCAGAATGGGGTGCAGCCCTGGGGTGAAGATCAGGAAGAAGGCTGTGACTTTGTGGCAGACAGAGACTGACCTGCCTCTCCATGGTCCTTCTGGGACTGAAAGTTGCCTTGCAAGAGCAGCTGGTTTCCTTGGCCCCTCAGGAGCTGAGGGAACCAACCAGATGGGTTTTCTCTGCTCTGATATTGGAGTGCCAGCCAAGGAAAACGGAGGGGAGAGATTTGTCTCTAGAGTCTAG